GTATGAAATTTCCCACACTTATAGAGAATGCTAATATTTTTTTAATTATGTCTAAAAAATACATCAAATCTGATAATGCGATACAAGTATCCGGACTCCTTGTACTCGTAATGCCATATTTCCAATACTAAAATCCAATTCTGAAAACATCAAAAACTTAACTTGATATTATTTTGCATTCATATTCAAAACACAAGATGCTCCTATCAGGTATAGTTCGTTCTATTTGCTTCTTGGATCAATTATTAAGGTAAGGTTTCGAGACAGTCGGAGAGGCCACAACCTCTTTAGAGTCCGAACACCAATTTATCTTGCTCTCTCAGCGAATTTGATAGTGAGGGTCGCTATTGTCAGATATTTTATATATAATTTTATTAGAATATTGAGATTCAGGCTTTTCTTTTCAAATAAATTTGATTGTCGAGACTAAAGTAGCATACACAAATGCATTGACTTTTATCAGCGTCTATGGTTTTGATTGTTATTCTCAACAATCGACTTTTTTCTCTCCTACCTATGCTGATAGCCTTGAGAGGCTATTTCAGCTTCTCCTTGACGTGTAGGTGAGCTTACGGGGCTTAAACCGGGAGTTTTGCTAACACTGGCCCTAGCAAGAGCAGTGCTTCGGAGAATCTTCCACCGGATTGGCAACGCGACCCATTGGGAAGATCCGGCGAGAAACTAAGTGGACTGTGTCTATGGGTTAATTCACTCGTCGAGCCCTTTATCGCAAGCGACGGGTTCGACGAGGACGGTGACCGGTGCTTGTGGTACCTAAAAGCACCGTTAATGGATCGGGCGGATCCGTAATGACGTGCTTAAGGTGACGTCAACTGTTTACCATTCGGTCCACAGGATCGGGTATGTAGTTACCGGCGGCCATGGCAAGAGGGTTTTCATGTCGTGCCACCTTTTCGAAGTGGCGCAGTGATGCCGACTGTTGATGCTGACTGACTTAGTCAAGCTCCAGGTCATCATGGAGATCCACGTTCTTAGGAATCATAGAAATCTATGGAAACGAAGTACCGTATTAGACTTTAGTTTGGCCTCCTTGGTCTATCCTATCTGCATTACAACTATCAAAAACACTTCACATTATTCTTAAGTTCAGATTCCGACAAGTAAGGCCGGTTTAGCAGCAATGTTTTTATATGATACTTTTTTAAGCGAATTAGACTTGGATATTTTTTTAACGCTACGTTCTAGACTCATCTCACCTGATGTTATATGATTTCTGGAGCCCGTAGATATTGCAACATTATTGCCATCACCCCATTTTCAGACATGAGGTTGAGGTCTTCTTTGTATTGATGAAGTACCTGATTTGCGGCAGTAACAGACATGATGGTATAACAGATAGATGTAAGCAAGCCTAGCCATTTACACAAAAAATAATTACACTTCACGTGTATCACATTTATATCCGAGGTACGTAAATTGTTTTCTGTTTCAAATAAAATTCAATTAACATTCACAAATAAGCCTTGTAAACAAAATCTCGCATTTAAAATATCTATATAATAGAGCATTATATCAATAGCTTTGTCGAGCGGATTCCTTAATAATCCCCCAGACGTCCAGTCTCTGTCCGAGCATTCGATTGAATACGTGCTCCTCTTACATCGACGCGATTTGTTCAAGAATTTATTGCTGTTATTTGCTTATTTTCTCGTTCATTTAATACGCACGAACCTTAAAACGAAATACAGTTTCTTAAAGAGTAACATTGAAAACAAAAAAAAAAATGTCTAGATAAAATCAAAAGTAGCATATGTTATCTTAATTCCAAGGGCAGGTTAACTAAACAAGGAGACGTGTACACATTAATTTGCTGTCACATTTTTATCTTAACCTAATTTTAGTTTTACACGGTCACAGCAGAGCGAAAATAATCACGAAATGTTCGTAAATTCGAATCAGATAATATATAAAATGTCTATATTACAAGCATAGCGATGAATTGAATCTTTAAAATATTTTTTACCCACCGATGGGCCTAGCGTACTACGAGTATACCATTCGGGCCAAGCCAAACTCAGGGAATCACTAATTTTTATCAACTTGGCATTTTCATTTTAAAATTTATAAAATACGATAATTTGCACGGAAGATAAAAATTCGTGACTTTTACCGTCTAGTTTAAATATTTTAAGAGGCTCACGGGTGACCCTCGTGGCCCGAATGGTTCGGTAAGATAAGGCTCACCCGTGAGCACCGTGGCCTGAATGAAAATACTCGACTTTTCATATGGCGCTCAATGTGTTAAAAAACTAAATTCAAAAGTTAATATCATAAAGAGCTGTATCACTAATATAATACTACTAATAATTATTGGCGGTAGGATCTTTTGTGAGTCCGCACGGGTAGGTACCACCGCCCTGCCTATTTCAGCCGTAAAGCAGTAATGCGTTTCGGTTTGAAGGATGGGACAGCAGTTGTAATTATACTGAGCCCTTAGAACTCATATCTCTCCTGTAACCACTTAACACCAGGTGGGCCGTGAGCTCGTCGACCCATTTATGCAACAAAATAATAATAATAATATTAAAAAAAACTTGACAGGTGTCAAGGGACACCCAGATGGAAAGAAGTTCCTTTCGATTAATAGTGAAGGAATTGTAATTTTTTTTTATTCCAAGTTATAATATTTTTTTTATTTTATATAGGATTCATTATTGCTATTATTTTTTATTATGTACAAAAAACCTGTATAGACTCAACAAAAATAATCGTCGCGACACCACACTGCTCAATGCGAAATAGAAAGACGAAACGAAAATAACTGGTTTGCTTTCTATGAGAGAGAGAGACAGACAGAGAAACACGCGCACGCCGCACGGCTTACAGCTATAGCAAAAAGTGTCGTTACAACTTTTTTAGTTTTAATTTTTTCCGTCTAGCCCCCTTTCGCAACGCGCGATAAGGAATTTCGTTCTAATAATTATATATTCTGTATTTTCAATAGATATCCGATTGAGATCGTTAACGAGTGCGTAGTCGGACTGCGTTTCTGAGAATCGGGGAGCCAACGCAATTAGCAGACGAGACATGAAAGTTAATGCGGTTAATCGTTAAACGAATTGCTAGAAGGAAATTGCGCTCCACTCGGGGACCCTTGCTTGATTGGGCACTAGGTCGAATAAAATTACATTCCGAGTAGGCAACAAAATGTTTGTTAAAGACGACGATTTTCTGTTTACTAGAGGTCCCGCAGTACCCGAAATTCGACTATAATTAATTGGAATTGTAAGTTTGTACATTATTATGACCACAGACGTGAAGAAGAAAAGTTTGAAAATTAATAGTATGCATGCGTGTGTGTGTCAAATACATGGTATGTAGTGTGTGTAATGTTTTCTTTATGGATTTAATGTATCTTTTATGCATTATTTAAAAAAAAAATTAGCATTGTGCACTTCTTCTCTATATTCTCTATAAGTGTGAAAAAGTTCATACTCCTCCGTCCGCGCCATTTTTTGCGGTTGTCTCACCTTCAAACCGGAATGCATAAGCGCTCTGCGGCATAGACTCACATAAACTAATAGCAGGATACTATTTTTAATAGACTTCAAACAAGGAGGAGGTTTTCAATTCGACTGTATGTTGTTTTTTATGTTTGTTACCTCATAACTTTTGACGGGGTGAATCGATTTTGATGATACTTTTTTTATTAGAAAGCTGACGCTTCCCGTGTAGTCCCATTTTAATTTAGTCCAGTTTTGATAATGGTATCCATAAGAAAACCATATCAATCTTAAATTTGCATTAAGTACGTGCGCAACAAATAGATGAATAACTCAATATCACGCCAACCGATTTCGATGATTATTGTTTTTAGTATATATTTATTTGTTTTGGATTTTTTTTATTTTATTTGAAACCGGTTTTTGTTAAAGCATGTCTATTTACAATTATACAACTTTAGTAGTATCTGAACACCGTACATATAATTTTCCGAAACGCAAAAGGTTCCGTCTAATGCCATTTATCTACGGAAAAATAGGAATTAGTAATTTAGCTAAAAAAAGTATGTCCACGGTAAACTTCCTGTGTCGGACTTCCACAAGCACGTCGATTTCGACGAAAATCATTACGTTCATATTATATAGCATGACCTAACGAAGTTGTATAATAACATCAATATCAGTGACTGTTTTGTTAAAGGAAAACGTACTATGAATGTTTATAAGGAACGGGTAAACCCATACATTAAATGACCGCCGCCGCGTCACTGATCTTGTATACTCAGAAACGAGTTATAGATCTTGTACGGATAGCATAAAACAGTGACTAGACTTTTATTCACAATTAACTTATTAATTTTATTGACACTAACTAGATTGAAGGGATTTTCTGGTTAAGCAGTTAATAAACGTGCAACTGTTGTGATCGTTATATACTTCTGAGCCATGAGTAATTATATTAATGAGCCAAATAAAAATCGGAATGAATGACCCTGCCCGCTGCCCACATTATCTGATTGTAAAAAATATTGAGTTCTCGGTGTGTTATCTTGCGTTTTTATTCGAAATACTGTCGCAAAGAAAATATGATAAGTGTTTGATTGTCTGAATTTAAAAACAATGCAAGCCTACGAATACTTGGGATATACTACGTATATTTGTATTTACACGGTTTCGTCATTAACCATTGCCATAATGAATACTAAATAATCAAATACCGATTTGTTTGTCCCGTGAACTTGATACTTTAGAAATGAAAACGACATAAAAAAGTAATTTCAAATCACGGAATATAATAGAACAAGAGTTATATTTCTGTATATATAAAATATAACCTAAAAGTTATATTCAAATTTTTAATAAAAAAATAAATAATTTTTAATCACCTTCGTTAATTACTGGTTATGACAGTAGCAATGAATAATTAAATTTTCATTAGACAGTGAATCACTTTGCGACCATCGGATATATTTTTTTGCAAACGGTACCGCGGACAGGCACAGAAAATGTATTCGTAAGTATTTAACGTACGGACTTGACCTCCAATAAGCAGTACAGCGCAGCCGACGAACGTGATCCGGCCTTCTTTTGTTTAATAAATTAATTAAAAAAAAAAATATCCGTCTATAAAGACACTAGTCTAGTTTAATTTTAGTTTTATTGTTTCTCTGTGTGCGTAAAATGAGGAATAAAGTGTTGTTTCTTGTGTCGTCGCTTTTTTGGAGCTATGTTCGTAAGTAGTTTTTGAAAGCTTTCTTAGCGGGTGGTTGTATTTCTTGAAGGATTTTTTATTAACACGATACTCGATTGACTCGGTGGTACAGTAATTAGCGAACCTGATTGCTCAGTGGGGGTCGTAGGATCGATCCCCACATTGGGCAAACATTTATGAGACGAATAGTTTGTTTGGTTCTTTAATATCTATAAATAATAATAATAATAATAATAAATATTTTACTAACAATCACGCCACGTTAACTGGTCCAGTGATAAGTTCGTAAAGAACTTGTGTTACAGGTACCAGATAACGGAAATAAATGTAAGATTTTTTATTATACACATGCATATATTTAATATACATCCATAACCCTGGTAAAGACATTTATATTTATCATACAAATATCTTTCCTTGATTCGAATTCCCGGGATTCGAACCCGCGACCCCCTTGTGTAGTGACCATGTCACTTACCACTACACCGGACGGCCGCTTAAATGTATACATTTAAACTATATAAGTATATATTTCAGTCTAGTCATACATGAGGCCAGGTGACCGTGTCTGATTACTTATTATTTTCATAGTTAATCAAACATGTTTATTGATAAATGAGTTTAATTGTATATTACAATGAAATTTCGGAAATGAGCATTTTAAACGCAGAAAAAACACGATGTTTTTTTTTGAATATATATTTTTATTTTACACAAACACAAGTTTTTGTTTTTGTCGTATATACAATTTTTTTGTTATAGCATTTTCGCGTTTATCATTCTATGACTTCAATGCTTACTTCACAGCAATTTTTTTATAGCTATATATATTTTTTATATTATATTTATAACCTAAGTTTGTAATGTTTTGTTTTGTAGTAAGTAATCTTCCACTGAGAACCATCATGAAGAGCGTTGCGTAGCTAATTGATAAAAACCAATTATATCTGTTATATTGCAACTGATTCACAAAATATTTAGTGTTTTTATTACTGATCTTGAACCTTTTTGATAAAAATATAAACTTATTTCGTCACTAACGAACAGATAACAAAATATGTTTTATGTTTTCTAATTAAATTGTAAATAGCAATATCTTGAATGCGGAACTTAATTGCTTATGACATTCCATTCATAGCAAAAAAGAAACTATATTCATTGACCAATATTTTTGGATATAATTACATCTAGTTACTGTTTTCATTACGCAGAGTGTTAAAATTATAGAAGTGGCTTTTTGCAAAATATGGTAAAAAAATGATAATGAATGTAAAATTGTAACTACTAATTGTAACTATTATAGTTGTACACTCTGTTATGAAATCTATGGGATCCAATACTAGAAAAACATCAAGAAGGCAATTAGGTCGCTTAAGTTACAAAAACATTGGGTCATTAATATAATACAATAATTTTCTCTTTTCTCTAAATAAGAAGTCGTTTATTATGTCAATGTGGTCGATTTTTTTACTAAAAATTTATAAATGTAGTTGAATAAATTTTTACTAGTAATATAAATGTCAAAGTTAGTATCTATAGATATTTGTTACTCAATCATGGCTGAGCTGATTTGGGTTAATTTTGCACAGAGGTAATTCACAGCCTGGCTAAATACATATTATGATACTTTGTATTATGGTTAAATGACATGATCCGGGTAACACCGGATGCACCTGCTCTAACAAAAACTACAGTATATTTGAATATATAGAATTGATATAAAAAACAATTAGCAGTTTATACACCAGAGACTGATAGACACAAGTAACTTTATATCTCAGGAAAATGCAACGCTATTCACTCTTACTGAAATTTTAAATTTAAGGCGAATCTAACCGTGGATGAAACTGATCTAGTATATAATAACGCAATCTTTGTGCTACAAGGTTCAGATTCGAATATCGTCCTCAGTTAATATCTTTCTAAAAGAGGTTTAGTTATCTGTTTGTATTTATTCTTGTTTACGTGTTTCTGGCACACAGGAACCATCAATCTCAGAACCGTTTCGGTTAGGTTTTTTTTTTTAAAATTCAAACGTTATTTAAGTAAATAGAATGCACATTTTCGGGTATATTTTTTTTACATATATGTAGTACCATATTAGTTCACTTTTATTCCATCAATGATAGTTTGTTTGTAATTTTTATTAACTTTTATTCAATATTTTCGCACGTATCACCCAGAAATAGACTGCATATTTCTGTTGCAAGGCTTGGAGAGTAGGACAACCGTTATAATATATAATTGAGACTTAAACCTCACCCAAGATGGGATAAGAGCAACGCTAGCTAATTGGGAACCCTTTTATGGGTAATATTAATATGAATTAAAGATGATAATACTATTACTGTGATAATAATGTGTGCATAAGGGAGAAGCGGTAGTAATAGTTCCATATAATCGAGTCATCGCCTATTATATTTTCATCATTCCATCAACCACGACAGGCAAACATTTATCGATGAACATATAGGTATGTTCGCTCTCTATCTGAGTGTTTAGATTCATTTAAATAAATATAACTATCATCACGGGCGCATCGCGATGCTCAGAAATAAGCGATCAATTGAAGGATGACGAAATAAATATAAGTGTGATAGTCTCGTAATACTCATCTAAGTAGTGTTCGGTTATTATTACTGTCGTTTTATTAATAAATAAAGTTATGAATAGCATCCTGATGCGCCTGAGACCTTTTCTTGTGATTTATACCCACTTATGTCGGTCAGTAGCACAGTGAAGTGCGTCGCACACTCTTTTTTTTATTTATTGCTTAGATGGGTGGACGAGCTCACAGCCCACCTGGTGTCAAGTGGTTACTGGAGCCCATACACATCTGCATTACTGCTTCGCGGCAGAAATAAGCAGAGTGGTGGTACCTACCCGCGCGGACTCACAAGAGGTCCTACCACCGGTAGTATGTAGAATGTTTTTGAAAAAAGTCGAATTTTCATTAGAATATCTCATTCCAAAAATATTTAAGGCATTTTGTGTTATATTTGACAATAAAGGGCCGCAAATTAGTTTAATTATTTTATATAGTTATAATTTTGCTGGTTCGATTTTTATTACACGATGTTATTCCTTCACCGTGGAAGTCAATCGCGAACATTTATTGAGTACGTATTTCATTAGAAAAATTGGTACCCGCCTGAGATTCGAACACCGGTGCATCGCTCAACACGAATGCACCGGACGTCTTATCCGTTAGGCCACGACGACTCGTGTCCAGGTGCTTGTTTTATATAATAGTGTCATGTTAATAAACCTATCCTTTATTGCCAATGGATCATATTAATTTACCAAAAATATCTCCAGTTTCAGATCAATGCACGACGCCGCTCGGCGAGGTTAGCGAATGCGTCTCATTGTACGATTGCTCTCAACTGTTGTCTGCGTTTGAGCAACGGCCTTTACAAAGCAAAGTGGTCAGCTTCCTGAGACAATCACAATGCGGTTTTCAGGGATACGTACCAAGAGTTTGTTGTGGGCCTTTACCGGCGCAACAAGAGAGGCAGACTACGGTAAGATTTTTGGATACGCTTTGACTTTTTTATTGGAACGAAGTTCCTTATCGCGCGTTGTGAAAGGCGGCTAGACGGAAAAAATTCTTACGAAAAGTTGTCACGACACTTTTTAGATCCGTCATTCTGACCAATTAACGTGTAGGCGCTTATCGTGTGACATTGCTCGTATCCGATTGGTCCGCGTAATGAGTACAGTTTCTCGAGATAGCGTTTCAACAATAGTAATTTAGTTCATAGTATTGTTTTTTTCTTCTTCATAATGCCGTAATTTATTATTATAACTTAAAAAAAAAATTACAATTCCTTCACTAATTAATCGAAAGGAACTTCGTTCCATCCGGGTGTCCCTTGACACCTCTGANGATTGGTCCGCGTAATGAGTACAGTTTCTCGAGATAGCGTTTCAACAATAGTAATTTAGTTCATAGTATTGTTTTTTTCTTCTTCATAATGCCGTAATTTATTATTATAACTTAAAAAAAAATTACAATTCCTTCACTAATTAATCGAAAGGAACTTCGTTCCATCCGGGTGTCCCTTGACACCTCTGAAGTTTTTATTAACTAAGGAGTTCGTCCCGAGGTCCGTTCCGTGGTCCCGTAAGGGGGTACGATGACGTTCTTCTTCTTCTAGGGAATACTAGTGACGTGGTAAAGTGATTATTATCGCTTTGTATCTACGTAATAAGTTGGTTGAAACAACACGCACGTGTTTTTACTGGTGGCAGGATCTCTTGTGAGTCCGCGTGGGTAGGTACCACCACCCAACCTATTTCTGCCATGAAGCAGTAATGCGTTTCGGTTTGAAGGGTGGGGTAGGTAGTCGTTGTAACTGTACTTGAGACCTTAGAACTTATATCTCAAGGTGGGTGGCGCATTTACGTTGTAGATGTCTATGGGCTCCTAGTTTCTTTGTTGTCTACTATTTTCATCTCATATTAAATCTAAAGATTGTTTCATAAGGATTCATATAACTTTACAGGATTCAATATACGTTAAAAATTGAATGATAAACAATATTATTTCTTTTGCCATATTTGTTTTTAAATCTAATGTACTAAGGCTATAAAATTTAGAAATATACAGATAATTATTTGTTTTTTTTATTGCTTGGTTGAGTGGACGAGTTCACGGCCCACCTGGTGTTAAGTGGTTACTGAAGCCCATAGACATCTACAAAGTAAATGCGCCACCCACCTTGAGATAAGTTCTAAGGTCTCAGTATAGTTACAACGGCTGCCCCATCCTTCAAACCGAAACGCATTACTGCTTCACGGCAGAAATAGGTGGGATGGTGGTACCTACCCGTGCGGACTCGCAAGACGTCCTACCACTAATAAAAAATCTATAGTATCTATCTATACTAAAGTGCCGCTCAGATCGTTCATAGTACTTATCAATCATAATAAGAGACGGCTCCATTTTCACGGCTTGTTTACGCAGTTAATTCAATTTTTAAAACTGTTTTACGCAAATATGATTTTTTTTTATGGCCGCGTCTTATAAATTATTTATAAATTTAGGAGGAATAAAAATATTTTAATCTTATGATGAATAAATAATGTTTGTTTTTGTTGCTGTTCGTTAAGATACTGACCGGTTTTTATTTACGTGACAACCCTAATTTGAAGTGTGGCCTTGTTAATTAGTCGCGTGAATACGAGACAAGCCATTGTGCCCTTATTTGTAAATATCAATAACTGGTTAACTCGGGTCTTGATAAGGAGTGAAAAGATGATATTGAATTATATATATATTCAAGGAAATCGAATAGCAGGTATATAGTTTCATACATATTTAATACATAGTAAATGTACCATAATTGCCATTCTATATTTTTTTAATAAAAAGACGGTAGTTCGCACACTATTCAAATGCTGACGAATAACAAACACGTCGCATGTGACTACGAAACTCCGGAAATAACAAATTGAAAATAATTAAGTGATGCTTAAAATCAATTTTGATTAACTATCGTTTGAATTAATTTTATGTTTTTAAAAGCATCCATCTCAGACTAGACGACGTTTGTTTTGAGGTAGACGAACTCACATCGCACCTGATGCTAAGCGGTCACCGATGTCCATGAAAACTCAGCGTGAATTCTGCTTCCCACCTATGGACATTATATCAAAGTATCAAACACATCAATATCTATCCCAAGATACCAGGGTAGCTGGGAGGTACATGACTTTGTTACAATTTACAGCGGTCACGATAGAGGGTATTCTTGAAGATATAAGAAAATCTGTTATCATTTTCAGTTTTTGGTAACGTTTGATAAATTTAATTGAATTAGTTCGGCTTAGTTTAATTTTAACTTATGCTTCTTAGCCATGTTTCCGTGTAACTATTAACTAAAGTAACAAATGTTCACGATTGACTTCCACGGTGAAGGAATAACATCGTGTAATAAAAATGAAACCCGCAAAATTATAATTTTCGTAATTACTGGTGGTAGGACCTCTTGTGAGTCCGCACGGGTAGGTACCACCGCCCTGCCTATTTCTGCCGTGACGCAGTAATGCGTTTCGGTTTGAAGGGCGGGGCAGCCGTTGTAACTGTACTTGAGACCTTGGAACTTATATCTCAAGGTGGGTGGCGCATTTACGTCGTAGATGTCTATGGGCTCCAGTAACGACTTAACACCGGGTGGGCTGTGAGCTCGTCCACCCATCTAGCAATAAAAAAAACTATCACTAATCTATTCTATATATCTATATATAAAAATGAATTGCTGTTCTTTAGTCTCGCTAAAACTCGAGAACGGCTGGACCGATTTGGCTAATTTTTGTCTTGAATTATTTGTGGAAGTCCAGAGAAAGTTTAAAAGGTAGATAAATATGAAAATGCTCGGAATTAAATAAAAATAACAATTTTGTTTTTTCTTTGTTGTGTCCCCCGTCAGACGAATTTCTTTTGTTTGTTTTACGTTTATTTTATACGAAGGCTTAGGTCTTTTTTTATCGATTGAGGCATCTTCCCGGTCAGCTAGTTATATCTATACATATAAATAAAATTGGAGTGTCTGTTTGTAATATTGAAATAACCGCTTTTTACTACATGCATATGTAAATATATAAGTATATAAGGTACATACACCAAAATAACATTTTTTACAATTTTTGTCTGTCTGTTTGTTCCGGCTAATCTCTGGAACGGCTGGACCGATTTTGACGGGACTTTCACTTACAGATAGCTGATGATATAAAAAGTAACTTAGGCTACTTTTTTTAGACTAGCTTCGCGCCGCGGCGTCATCCGCGGTACGACAATAACCGCGGGTAACATTGCGGGACTCAACTATAATATCAATAATAAAATTTAATGTTTCCGAAGCGAAGCGAGGGCGGGTCGCTAGTATAAAATACAATAAATGCCTCACACACAGCTTCGTACGTCAGTGTACGCCGATACTATCATTCCCGAAACCTCGGCTGAATACCACCAAAACTATACAAAGTTTAAACTTTAGGTACTCGGTTAAATGACACGAGAACCATGATACTGATTCCGACCTAGAAATTTTAATATTTATTCTAAGTAATTTTAACTTTGTATTCTGGTCCCGCAGCCACGTTCAAGAACAACGCGGCCTCCGACCAATGCGGTCGGCCACGTCGACCCCACAGTGCCAGAAGACTCGTCCCCGGCTCCTCGGAATCAATGCGGAGTGGACACACAAGGTGACAGAATCTATGGGGGTCAGTTCACGGACTTAGACGAATTCCCTTGGATGGCTTTGCTTGGATATCTGACGAGTAAGTTATTCTACTAACTATAGATAGGTACCTATTGCATGAAGAAAATGTATTGAGTTAAATCATTTCCTATAATTGTCAATTTTCATTACAATGTTCGAAAATAACTATAGATGGCATGCAAGATTCATCGTACGTTTTTTTTTGATGCTTCGATGGGTGGACGAGCTCACAGCCCGGTGCTAAGTGGTTACTGGAGCCCATAGACTTTTACAACGTAAATGCGCCACCCACCTTGAGATATAAGTTTTAAGGTCTCAGTATAGTTACAACGGCTGCCCCACCCTTCAAGCCGAAACGCATTACTGCTTCACGGCAGAAATAGGCGGAGTGGTGGTACCTACCCGTGCGGACTCACAAGAGGTCCTACCTCCAGTGCGTGTAAACATTATACATTATATTTCATTGCCGTAAGAAATTAAGGGTTACTGGACTTAACATCATATTCTTAGAACTCTAAAGACCGTATGGATTACAAACTCAACCATCGAACACATGTATATTTGCGGCTGTCAGCGCAAAAGTGACCTAACCCACAATTTTTCATATTCGTGCTTATGTATTACATTATTTAAAATATAATAAATTTTGTTGCAACACTGGCCTATACCTAGTTTCAACCATAGATAATAGAAGGCTTTGTAAACGTTATTTTTGCGCGTATTCTTTTTGCCAGTGTAAAAGTAAATTCAGACCTCGTTATCTCCATACTAACCATGGTAAGCTTAAGTCACTTTTGCGCTAACAGCCTCATTTATTGTTAATCACGTGGCTTAAGAGCAGTGAAATAATATTATGTGAATATAGGTAGGAATACCATAACCTATCAATGCGGCGGTGTGCTCTTCAACGCTCGCTACGTGCTAACGGCTGCTCATTGTTTGATCGGTGCAATCGAAAAGGAAGTCGGTAAATTGTGAGTATTTTATATAGTACTAACGACCCGCCCTCGCTTCGGTTCGGAAACATTAAATCTTATTATTGATAGCTGAGTCCCGCGATGTTACCCGCGGTTATTGTCGTATCGCGGGTAACGCCGCGGGGCAAGCTAGTCTAAAAAGTAGCCTAAGTTACTCCTTATATCATGAGCTACCTATCAATGAAAGTCCCGTCAAAATCAGTGCAGCCATTCCAGAGATTAGCCGGAACAAACAAACAGACAGACAGACAGACAGACAAAATAAAAAATAAAATTATTTTGAAATATTATTATGTACTGTGTATACATACTTACGCATTTAGTAAAGAGTGGTTATTTTATTATTACAAACACACTCCAATAACAGTATATACATAGTCAGGTCATAAGTATTGTCACACAGTAAAAACTTTTCTTTTAGAATGCTGGCCACAAAAAAGTTTATTGAATTCGAATTTCGAATTTTTCATGAAAATAAAAATGTATACTTTTAGAATTTTACTCATTTTTAAATATGGAGTGGACGCTAAAAGAAGACCGTGTTGCAGTTATTGCGTTGCATCGTTGCGGTTACGCGCCAATTCAAATTTTTAACATACTGAAATATTTGAATATAACCAAAAGATTCGTTTATCGTACCATCAAACGATACAGTGAAGACTCTAGTGTAGATGACAGGTCAAGAAGTGGTCGCCCTCGGTCTGTTAGGACTCCAGCAGTGATAAAAGCTGTGAAGGCGCGAATTCAAAGAAATCCCAAACTTAAGCAGAAACTGTTGGCCCTTCAGATGGGGTTAAGCAGAACCACGGTGAAAAGGGTGTTAAATGAAGACTTAGGGCTTCGGGCATATCGAAGAAAAACAGGA